CATGAAATTCATTATCCAACAAGATATTTTGAGTCTTCAGGTCGTGATGAAGTAGAGGAGGGTTCATATTGTGCAGGTAATTTACACCTAGCGCAATTTCATGCAGGATGCGGAATCTCAACGGCCAAGGAACATCAGGGTATTCATTTTTCTTCACATAACATAAAAGAAACAAAATAGAAATTAGTGGCCCACTTTCACTGCATTTCCACTTAGGAAAAGAAATAGTCCATGAGGAAATATAGTATAAATTAAATATTTAGTATAACTAAAGGCAGGTCAAAATATACGCTCTTTTTTATTATATAGTATCAATTTGACATTATTTAACATCCTTATATCTCATTTTCCTCAAGTTTTGGAGAAAATAATGATGACTTTACAGTACTAATAGTTCCTCTTAGTTTATATTGGTAACTACATGGTATGCGTCTTTCTTTGGGTGACAGTTTTTAATTATATTTCGTCTGTGTAATACACAGACACATGTAGTTATACTCATACCCATCTCCCCATTCCATGGCTTCTATCAAGTAACTTGTGCCCATGCACGCACACCTGAACACATACATGTACACAATTTGTTCTTATTGAAAATTTATATTTTTCCTATTAATATAAAACCAAACTTTATTATATAATAATCATTGCATCAATTAAAATTATGACTATGTTATATATTTACTAAGCATTAATATCTCATACTTTTAAATCATAAAATGAATTTATTTGCATTCCAGCTTGAAAAATTAGCCTTTGGGAGTTTTGTTTTTGAGAAGGAGACAAAGATCATCTTCATTTCTAAGTGTATACAACACAGAAACATTAAAAATGTAATGTTCTCTATTTCTTGGTACCTACAAGTGAGAGTCATCTGAACTTTCTTAAATGTTTTCTGAACATACAAGTTACTACAGCTTCCCAGGAGAATGAACACACTCAGAAAAATGAGACGATGTGGGAAAATCTGACAATGAATCATCAGGGACCATGCTACTGGGTACATTTTTCTAAATGAAAAAGTATGCTTCTACTGGAAGTTCAAAACTGTTCTTGAGAATTTGTTTTTTTTGCAAATTGGTCAGCTTACTGTTCACCGATTAACTCACTTGGTAGGGGAATAACTCAAAATACTTTGTGTTTACACTGTATTTTGATTTTTTCCAACAATCTTTTGTGAGGTTGGGGGAGGGTGCTTCAAGATAAATCCTACCCTAATAATACAATACAGGACACCAAAAGAAACACAAAACATACATGTTGACCATTACTTCCTCTTGTATATATGGATCTCCATCCTGTGGACTAATTAAATCTTTCAATCCGTGAAAAGGTATTTTTGCTGAAAATGATGCAGTTTAGAGGAGTAACAAGCAAGATCTCTCTGCTAGAGTGTTACATGGATCATGGGACCAAGCAGAAGAACACTCACTCTGTATTTTATGATTCCTTTTAGGAGGTAGCAAGCCCCCTGAAGGGGGCTCTAGAACTTCTACTGAGCTCCAAATTTGGGTACCAGACTATCTGCTGGGGTGCTGGGTATGACAGCATTACATACAATGTTTGCTTATATTCATAAAAAATGGGAAATTGTGTTTAATTAGTATTTGTATCTAGACTGTTTTGGTTACACAAATCTTACACACTGACACTAGTTACTTTACTCGGTCCTTGTTTTAGGTGGTTCAGTCACAAACAGAATGTGATGTATCCTGAAATAAAGAGGAAGTCACTTCATGACTGGGTGACAGTAGCAGCCAGTCTCCCTTGTTTGCTTAGAGAACGTTGTGACATGTCAGAATTTAGGAGTGTCCAGTGATTGGGTTTTACACATTTTGTTCCCCAGTTTCAACTAAATCAACTCTCGCAAAATAGATCGAGTTATCTGAAAAATATTTCCTAAGAGAAACTGCAGGGTGGAGATAATAAGATCAAACAACAGCAGATGAACACATACATTTTGAGAATGAGAAGACCCAAATTTGTTTACTGATGGGATTTGCAGTCAAAGCCAGAGTTACTGGTACCTAGAGAGAAAGGTAAATGGCTCACGCTATTGTCTATTACAGGAAAAGTTCAAGTATTTGATACTCAGAGATAGCTCTATGTGTTCTATTTACTCAGAACTTTATGAACTTGTATTACTAACATCTGATTTGAATCCTAAATTGCCTTCAACATAAAATAAAAGCTGGCTTAATACACAATAAATTGTATAGTGTGCAGACTTTAGGTCCTTTAGGATGCAGGGTCTGACTCCAGTTATTTTTAACAACACAAAAGAAGCTATAAATGGTGAACCTTTACCACTGCATTTGGTTTTCATTATTCTTATTTTGATTCATTTATATATCCCCAAATAATCTGACCATATGTAAAACCAAAGCACCACATAGCTTGAATAACAGAATTACAGCCATTGAAAATGTACAATACTTACCCTATGCAGGAGTTCATTTAATGATCCATTTGGCATGTATTCAGTAACTATTCCCAAAAATTCAGGCTCATTGCAAATTCCCAAAATTGGAAGAATGTAACTAAATCTAGCTTTGTGTAAAATTTCAGCTTCTCTTAAGACATCAATTCTTTCACTAAAGAAAGAAAATGCAAAATTATTTCAAAGTAATGAAAAATACATAATTACTATACCCATAATATTAATTCACCCTGGATTTTTTTCATTCTGTAGCTTTTGGCCTCACGTAAATTACACAACTTGTCTGTCTTATTTTCTTCGTATTTCAAGCAGGGACAGTATCTACCCTCTATATTCCACAGGTCTGTTTAGAGACCAAAATAACTTCTAAAAGCCACTGACAGAAAAAAGTGCTATGTACAGATTATTATACTTTTCCTAGAAAAGGGAAGAACACAATACTTAACTAAGTTTATAAAGTCTATCTATATTAGAATGACAGGTGCTTGAACTAATTACACTAAGTTTATGTTGTTATTAGAATGATCAAATTTGATTAGAGAAAAGAATCAAGTTTGATATTAAATGTTTTCATTGTATGGTTGCACACCCTGGAGCTTAAAACACTTAAAGGTTGTAGATTTTAATGACTAGCTGATAACAGTTGTGTAAGGGACAATATTGCTTAGAAATTATGCACTGGAACTCAGGAAAAGAACACTGAGAACAGGTAAATGCTGTTTTAATCTGTTGTAACAGATCCCTGGTTTATTTGCTTATTCACTCATAAAACAAACAAATATTGAACTTCTACTATGAATAAAGAACTGTGCACAGCTATTAAGACTATTAAGCTAAAAAAAACAAACATAGTTTGTGACCTCAAGCTGTCAGAAATCTTTTTAAGAAAACTAGATACTCATTGTGGTTTTGATTTACATTTTCCCAGTGATTAGTGAAGTTGAGCACCTTTGCATATTTCCTACTGGTCATCTGCACGTCTTTGGATGTGTTAATTATACTGACCTTGGTAATCATTTCATGATGATGTGTATGTATATCTAATACTCATGTTGTGCATTTTAAACATAATAATTAATTTGTCATGTATTCCTCAATAAAGTTAAAAAAATAAGGAAAGCAAATAAAAAATGAAAGAAAACTAAATAGTCAAAATATAAGATGGAATATGATAAGTGCCATCAAAAACAAAAACAAAAAATAAGCAAGTAAGTAACCAAGTAAATAAATAAATACAGAACTGTAAGGAGCTCAGAGAACTAGTAACTTTGGGCTAAGGATTTCTACAGTCTTGAAGGAGCTATTTCAACAGGACTTCAAGGATGGATAGAATTTCAATCATCAAAAAGCACGCATCCAAGATGGATGTGCATTTCTTTTTCATCTGTGTATCCCCAGGATCTGGAACAGTGCCGGGCACACAGAATAGTCTCATAGATACCGTATCAAATGTATTCAAAGCAGTTAAAGTGAGGGCTATACCTGGAAAATGGCAAATTGTTTAATATAATCAATGTGTAACAGTATGTAAAGGAAGTGAAGGTGGATCGGGCAGGATATGCCCTCATCTTAGAGCCTTAAAACTGGGTGAAGGTGTTCACACTTTATTTGGTAGTCACTGAGTTGTGACTCAAATTTCAGGTTTTTGAGCAGGGGAATGATATGAGTGGAACAAACTTTCAGGGTGATTACTTTGGCAGCAAGGTGTAGAATCAGCAGAAAGAGGCAGAGTTTGAAAGCCAGGTGTTAGAGGATTATAATATTGGTTAAAATGTGAAGCAATGCGAATCTGGAACCATAAAGGCTGCAGTAGAAATGGAAAGAAAAATACCAGCTGAACAGAATGCCAGGTTGTGGCGACTGACTGACTGACTGAGGCGGTTTATTTGCATACATATGTAAAAAAAAGGGAGGGAATTGGATTTGTCATCAATTTTTACTGCGGATGACTTGGTGTTGGTAGCAGCAATGATAGAAATAGAAACATCTCTAGGAGGAGCTTATTAGGTAAGTGATGATGTAATATAAGTTAGTTGGTGCTTAAACCACCCAAGCTCTTGATGAATGGCTGCTGGAAAAAAGACAAAAAAAGCAACAGATATTCCAGACCAGACTATGAGGCCTGCTTTAAAAACATACAAAAAGCAAGCAAACAAACAAACAAACAAACAAACCCCAAAACAAAAAACTCAGTCATCTATATTTTGAATAGGTAGTATATTCACATTTCAAAATTCAGGAGTTGCAAAATGTATAAAGTAAAAAGCTTCTCTCCTCCTCCCTCTTCTTCAGTTACTTAAATACCCCAACTGTGAGACAACCAACTCTCTCTTTGTTTAAATTCATATTCTCTAAGCTGAAACAGTTCTGTGTTCGCCTCAAGAGATGTGGTCAGCAACACAGTTACTGAGAAGCACCTTTGCAGGGAGGCAGAGGATGGACCTGGAGGTTCCTGGAGACTCTGAGGAAGAATGCTTCAGAGGGCAAGCCGGGGGCGTCTCAGTGATACTAAATATATACTCCTCCTCCCATCAAAAGGCCGAGGCATCTTCCTTCTACTGTGATTCTGTTATGTGCCGGCCACTTTAAGTGGACTATCGCCCTAAGATCAACCCTCCAAAGCTGGTTTCACTATCTCCACTTTACACACGAGGGCTCAGGTAAACTAACAATTTTCTAATGGTCACACCAACAACAGGTGACGGCTGGAGCCAGATCTGAGTTGTAATTGTGGGACTCTTAACTGTGGGACTCTTAATGCCTTTGTTCTTTCCATTCACTGATCAGAGAAGAGAAAGTTCTTGAAGTCAGATTGCAGGAAGAATGAGTGAGAGTGGGAAGACAGAAAAGCCAAAACAGTTTAAAAAAAAGATTTTTGTATTTTTAAAAATAAAAACATAAAATACAGCTTCTATAGACGTATGACTAAAATTATCCAAATCAAAATTTCGGTTACAAAACAGGTATGCTGTCTACACAGGGTGTCTGAACAATCAGTCAGACATCTCCTCATAGCTGGGAGACTGCTGGGGAAGGTCTACTTACTGGGCAGAAGTCAAGTTGCAGAGAATGACTAAATCACTAAAATAAGAACATGTAACAGCACATAAACCTACTTTTCTTTCGGGCGATCCCAAAGAACAATGCAATCATCGTCCACACCAGAGCCCAGGAAGTGTATGTGTTGCTCTTCCCACTTTATAAGTGAGGAAACAGACACATTGGGAGTCAACTGCAGAGCCCAGCCCCACGCTCAGACTACATAAATGCTGCTAACGTTAACGTTCTAGGTGACAAGCGCGAGAAAAAAACGTGATGTCGTAATACCAGTGTTTCACTGGTTCTTAAATGGCTTCTTTGATGACAAAATTAATTTCCTACCCAATTTAGTGAAGAATTTTAGATTATGAAAATTGTTGGTGAATATGGAAAGGGATCTCCCTCTTCATTTCTTGGCCCCAAATGGCACAACACTTTGATAAATTAAAATCTTCAGAAGCAGCATCCAAAATGGAGGGATTAGCTGGCCTTAAAATACCTAATGAGCCCCTCAGTGCTAGATTTCCATGTATTTTCATACTTGATTCTAAAATACATCCACCCTCTCTAATGAACCTGCACCCTTCAAAGCTGACTACATACACCTACTTGCCTAGAACTTGCTCCACAGAATTCCAAGCCCAGGGTAAACAGACACCACACCCTGAATGGTCACTAGACCTGGATTACGATACCCAAAAAGTGGGGACAATTTTTATAAGTGTCTCGAATTTACTGTGAGATGTAGCCCATCCAAACCTGACAGGAAGAGAACAAAGAAAAGCCACAGGCACATTAAAGGCCAGTAACACCCAGGGCTGAAGCTGAGGAACTGATTGGATATTGGATACTGACAGCCTCCCGGCCAATCAGGCAGCCAGCATGATGTGTTTTCACTTTAGACAGAGGGGGAGGAGAGGACAATGTTGCAATCATGGATGTTAACTCACTAAGAACTCAATACAGGTCCCAGTTAAATCCCTACTGGAAAGAAAATACACAAAAATAGACTCACTGACTAATACATTTGGTCCAAAGTTTTCTAGAAACAGAAACTAAGTCTAGCCCTCCCTTAAAACTCCGACATTGCACTAAAACTGTTCCAGGATGTGAGTGACGTTCAAATCTTTTGGCTATTTAACAGTCTTTTGATTCAGTTTATTGTTAGCAAAAATAATACACATTTCCTTTGGGGATGGGCTTCCCTGTGAGAGGAGAAACTAAACTGACTTGAGTTTGGTATCTAAACTTTCATGACTACACTGTAATAAACCAAAAAGAACAACAGAAAGCACAAACCAAAACATTCCAGACACTAGAGTACTGCTGTTCAACAAAAATATAACATGAATCACATACACAATTTTAAGTTTTCTAGTGGTCACATTAAAGAGTAAAAAGAAACACATAAAATGAACTTTAACAATATCTTGTATGTATCCTAATGGATTAAAAAAATCAACTCAGCATATCAGTACAAAAGTGTTAATGAGGCATTGTAATTCTTTTCTTTCTTTCTTTCTTTTCTTGTAGTACAAAATGCTAGAGACCTGGTGTGTATTTCACAACTAGAGTACATTTTAGTTCGGGCATCCACATTCCAAGCGCTCAACAGCCTCCTGTGGCTAACAGCTTCTTACTGGTCAATGCAATCCTAGAGACCGACCCCCCTCCCCAAAAGGGCCAAAAAAAAAAAAATCACAGCAAATAAAACCCAATTTCAATAAAGAGGGCGTTTAGAGTTGGGCTGTGATGGCTGATTTTGAGTATCTGCAGAGAGGAAGTCCAGAAGTAAGAAAACAGAGGGCTTTGAAAAGAGAGGGCTGCATCTCCAGAGAAGCCAGCTCTGCCCACCAGGCCAGCACCACGCCTGAAAGACGGCCTCGAGGTGTGGAGGGATGGGGCCGACCCCACAAGTGATCGCGGTCGTTCGGGCTCCAGAGCC